AAAAAAAAAAAAAAAAAAAAAAAAACTTTACGATCCTCTGCGATAACTTCGTTAATACTCAAAAATGGTCGCGGCTTCACTGCTGCAAGCAAACACATCAGCAAGCAACCAACTTGTCTCAAGTTGGTTGCTTGCTCAAAAATGGTCGCGGCTTCACTGCTGCAAGCAAAAGTACAATCATCAGCCCTAGAAGCAAAAAAATTCTCAATGCATCGCGAGAATCACTATGCCAAGGCGTAGCTCTGAATACGACAGGTTTGTGAGAAGTGCTCCTTCATTATTTGTACGTACGGAGTCTATCTGATAACTTTGCCGACAAGGGGTTGTGCGAATATATCAGGAGAGGAAACATCGCCTGATCCTATATCTACTGAAAGTGGGTTTTTGTTTACTACCATCTTGCCCAGAACATAACGCAACCTCATCACAACCATTTCGGATCGGACCGGAAATATATAAAGATCGTATACGTCCAAAATCAGGGTGCGTCATATGTTTGGGGGAAGACGGTCGGTGGAAAATTCCACAAAATACTGGTCATGTCAAATACATCGCATGATCCGGGAGTCTACGGTGAAAACATCAGATGCTCCCGGAGTCTACGGTGAAAACATTGGATGACTGGGAGTCCACGGTGAAAACATCGGATGATCCGAGAGTCTATCGGACGCAAGATGTACTGAGTTGTACCGTAACTTGTACAAGATGTAAAGGTGGAAACCATTGGAAAAAGGACCAAGGCAAGTTCAATCAACCTTCCCTCCTCTCAATATTTGAGTGGGGGGGGAGGGGGGACAAAAGAAAAGAGGAAGTCATTGCTATAAGATCACAACCCTAACATTAACCCTCAGAATGACAAACGTGGCAAAAAAAAAAAAAAAAAAAAAAAAGAGCAAGCGCCTGATCGTAGGGCAGCACGTCCAGGGCCTATCTCATCATATGCCAACTGGACTCATCAGATTGGATTCTGACACACTGAGATCAGTTTCAGGGCCCGCGGATCACTGCACACAGCATGGGACCAAATTGACCATACGATGGGACCAATCGACCATGGGACCAGTCGACAATGGGACTAATTCACCATGGATCTCATTGACCATTGGGAAAAAGACATACTTCGAGGAGTATAAGGCAGTTGGGAAAATACACTAAGATCAGTTTCAGGGCCCACGGATCACTGCACACGGCATGGGACCAATTGACCATGGGACCAGTCGACAATGGGACCGGTCGACAGTGGGACTAATTCACCATGGAATCATGGATCTAATTGACCATTGGGAAAAAGACATACATCGAGGAGTAAAAGGCAGTTGGGAAAAGATAACTGCTCATTGATCCTGCTTCAGTGTTGGGATTGAACCGTGAATGTCTCTGATTGGCAGAATCCAAACGACTCAATCGGCGATCCTGCGTTTGTCTAGCCCCATTGAGTCATTGACAAGGACCATGCTGGGCACTTTACAACCGTGAACACCGTCGTCGTCGTCGTCGTTTTTTTTTTTGTTTTTTGTTTTTTTTTCTTTTAACAAGTAAGATCCGATATTAGTAGTTCCACTATTTCTTCATTGACCTGCGAAGGAATTAGGGCCTGCACAGAACATAAAAGGAAAAGTCCAAAAAGACAAACCAGCCACCATTCATTAGCAAGTCAGTCGAAGCACGCGTGCGCAAAGGTCCCTCCTTGAGCACGCACATGGGGAGATGCCACGGATGACGACATGGGGGAAGAGGCGAGACAAAGATGGAGATGAGGGAGAAGACCAAGATCGCGATAGCGAAGTCAAAAAATAGTCTCCCTGCCGAATGTCCGATCAATGTCTGGCACAAAATGTCAAATCAGATCCTGGGCCTCATGGCCCAATGTAACCTCTGCCTGTAACCTCTCTCTCTCTCTCTCTCTCTCTCTCTCTCTCTCTCTCTCTCTCTCTCTCTCTCTCTCTCTCTCTGAAAGAAGAAGAAGCAGAAGAAGTTGAAGAAGCAGGAGGAGGAGGAGGAAGGAGGAAGGAGGCGAGGACAGGAAGAAGAAGAAGAAGATGTCGTCCTCCTCACTATCTCACCTGCAGGATGTCATCGCCAGGTACTAACGTCGGTGTGTTACTGTGCTGCAGGTCGCTGGCGAGGAACTCAGCTATGGCGCCCAGGTACGTACTCCATCGCTGCAGGTATGGCCTCCACCCTTATCCCTACCTACTATTCGACCCCTGGCACAGCGCGGTATGGCGCAACTCCAGCACCATGTCGCCGAAGAAGTGAGCTTACCCGAACTGTCTCTCTGTGTGCCCAGGAGCTGGCCCAGCTCTAAGTAGTGCTGGGCCTGGGCGCTGTGCCCACGACTTGCTCCTGGGCCAGGCCTCAAAACGGCCTGCCTTGGTCCCTACCGGACGTCAAGGCCCTCCCTGCTGATGCAGCAGGGAGTGTTCACTACCGGACAAACCCGAACCTGGCATGAAACGGCCAGTTTGCAAACGGAGTAGGCCCAAAACGTGGCCTTTGTCCGAACAGACGGAAAGTCTATCCGGACGTTCGGACGAACTGCAAGTCCGAAACGATGCCTGAAACAGACAAAAACAGGACAGCAAATAAATAAATAAATAAGTAAATGAATGCTGCCTCAAACAAAACCCTGCGGCCCTAAAGCCGGCCGTCAGCCTCCAGGGCGCGTGCCAAAATGGCGTGCGGCCTGGGGGCCCCCAGCAACCGTCGGGCCCCCGAAATGGGCCCCGTGTGCAGGCTCAGAATGTACCACTCTCTCTCCCCCCACACACACACATCAGTAAGCAACCAGCTGTAGAGGACAAGTTGGTTGCTTGCTGATGTGTGTGTGTGTGTGTGTGTGTGTGTGTGTGTGTGTGTGTGTGTGTGTGTGTGTGTGTGTGTGTGTGTGTGNTGTGTGTGTGTGTGTGTGTGAGAGAGAGAGAGAGAGAGAGAGAGAGAGAGAGAGAGAGAGAGAGAGAGAGAGCTGCAATGACTTGCTGATTTCTGCTGCCGAGATTAACTGCGAGGCTGTATACTAACCGGTAGGTTAGATTCGTAATTTTGCTTGGCTGAGGGCTAACCGAGAGACCTGCCTGTAAGGAAATTCGTGAGGGACAGATCTGCAAATCCGGGAAAATACAGGCCCGGTACTAACCGAATTCCTGCAGCTATCCTAACTGCCTATAGCAGGCCCGGGCTACCCCTAGGACAGACAGGCCCTAAGCGGCCTATACTGCTAGACGGTCCTATAGCCTATAGCCGGGTCCGGTAGAGGCCGAGAGGCCGAAACAGCAACAGTACCGGTCGGTCAGTCAGTCCGGTCTAGGTCTAGAGAGTCTATAGATAGGTTAGGCCCATCGATTCAGGGCTTTTGGCAATTCATTTTCGCGTGACCGCGTTCGTGGCCAACCAAGTGTTGCAGCGCTGAAAGTCTACAGCGGCAACCGAGATTTCAGCACGGGAGGCAGCCATAGCCAGCCTTGGGGAGACTGCCATAGCTGGGGCCAGTCTCAGCGCATCTACCCTCTGGGGTATCTGCGTCAGGCAGGGCTGTACGGAGGCTCTTCGTTGGGTACATGTGGGTGTAGCTGCTCGGCAGCCATAGCTGCCTTCGTCATCGTCAGAGTGGCTCATCGGCACTGACGACTACACTGCAATTCACGATCTTCATCTTGGTGGATGACGCTGGCCTCAGGGAGGCTGTTTCAGTGTAGCGCTGGACTCTGGGAGTGGGGTTGTGTGTGGAGTGTGAGTGCTGAGGTGGCGAGACACTGGGTTAAACTCTGTAACGATAATTGGGGTTAATTGAGTTGCGTTGGCTCATCATCAGTGTGATATTCCCATTGTGATCTTCGCAGTGTCATCTTGTGATTGGTTGTTGGGAGTTTGTCAGAGAGAGAGAAACACAGTGTGTATTCTCCCCATCTGTCCATAGTTGCTCTTCCGCTGCTTATCTCTGGTCTGTGTGCAGTTTGGACTCTGTCTCTCCTCCCCTTGGTCTTATGCATGTATGGGCATGTGTGAGATACTTTGTGTGTGAGTGGCGAGAAAATTGTCAGGCAACCAAGTTCATAACAGCGAGAGAGAGAGAGAGAGAGAGAGAGAGAGAGAGAGAGAGAGAGAGAGAGAGAGAGAGAGAGTTCAGAACAACAGAGAACAATAATCAACAAAGAATGAATTCTTATTTTTCCTCTTATTCGCTTTTCCTCCTCCAATCTCCCTCCTTTGAACCGATTGACCTACCATAGCCTATGCACACAACCAGGCAGTGTCGTAACACCACCCAGTCGGACATGGCATGCCAAGCCTGTTCAGCACTCTATGACCTTACCAGCAGAGCTTACTCGCAGTCCTGATCAGGTGTGGTGTGGGGAAGACGAGGGGGAAGCGAGTGGAGAATTTGAAGAGCGGAGATGAGGGGAAGGGAAGGACGAGGACACAGATAGTTACACGAATGATGGCTATGGTGGGAAGCTAGCATGCAAGTCGATTGGGCCATGGGGCGATCTCACATCCATCTCCATGCCATTGGACAAATGGTGCATACGAGAAACGCGGAAGGCGAAGAGCTGCAAGAGCAGGCAAAACGAGGGATGCGAGCATTTAAACCGCCAGTATCCCAGCTAGAAAATTAAAGTCGTGGCGTGCACATTGCCACAAGTCTGGGGAAGTACCGGGCTGCCGTTTCACGGCGCATCCATCCAGGCAAAACAGGTCGCATTCGAGGCCCGCTTTGTGTGGATGGATGTCCAGCGAAATGCTACCCCAGTACTCCTCGAGAGTCGGCGGAATGCACACCTCGATTTTGATTTTCCAGCTGAGAAACGTACTGGTGGTTTAAAAATTGTGCATGCATGCCCGCTGTTAAACGACC